GCCAGCCCTGCTGGGGCCGCAGCGGTGGCTTCTCCGTGGCTGGCCAGATGTGGCAGTTGGCCGCGTGTGGGACTGCGTGTTTCTTACACTGCCTCCACTCAGACATCAAGGAGGTGGCGAACGTGTGCAACCAGAGCCTGATGAAGCTGGTCATCCCAGAGGACGATGAAATGGATGAGGCCTAGCAGTCGATGACCCTACTGGCAGAGCCCACCTCGGAGGAGGCCCTCTCCAAGCCGGAGGCAGCATCCAGCGGTGAGTCCCTCTTGGTCTGAGCGTTAGGGGTGTGGGGAAGGTCCTCAAGAGGAGTTCTTGAGCTGGTTTGGTGTCATGGGGCAGCCTGGGGCACACAGGACCTCTGTGCTTTGTTTGAGCCGTGTAGTCCTGTTTCACAGATGATCCATCCTCTGCTGAGACGGACGTGTTTGGTGCTGTCTGCGTCGCAGGGTCACTGCTCTGGCCTGGAGCCCAAGCAGTGCTGCGGTGCTGCGTTCCCTGGTGAGTGTCTCCTCACCATCCTTCACTTCAACGTAGTCATTCAGTTGACCCGAAAAAGATCATTTCTAGTTCAACATTTAGTGTCTGCTGCGTAACGCAGGAGAATAGCCCACCTGTCCTGCAGTGGCTGGTTTGGGAGGAGCTACTGTCACCCAAAGGAGAGCTCAGAGAGCAGTGTTGGTCCTGGAGAGCATCAGCATGTGCGTGGAGGATGTCTGTGTTGGGCAAGGGTAGAGAACAGAAAGGAGAAGAATTTTGGGTCCTTTCCAGATTGACGGTGCTCTGGAGAGGGTTGTGCGGGTGTTATCCCAGTCCTAAAATTTCCAGAACAGAAAAGGCAACAGGCTGCAAGCATGGTGGGAGGCCTTGGAAGAGTGTTCAAGTGAGAAGAAACTAAATGGAGAGGGTCCCGGTGGATGGATGCCCGAAAACAGCAGTGGCTTTAGCCTTCGGGCATCCCTTGGGTGCTGTTGCCCTGGGATGACTGGGTGCTGCTTCTGGCACGTCTTTGTTGTCCGTCGTGTGAAATATGTGTAGCGTTTAAATCACGTGGGCTAATCCGTGTTGTTCCTCCACGGCTGCACGTTCAGCCCAGCGCTCTTCTGCGAAGCGCTCACAAAATCCTGCTGTGCGAGGGAGCGGGAAGGCGAGGATGAGAAGGCTGGAGGGTCTGGTCCGTCAGCGGCGCGGGGACCGGCCGGAGCAGGCAGCTGGGGCGTGCAGGCTGCACACAGGGCAGCATTGGTGGTTCAGTGGTAGAATTCTCTCCTGCCACGCGGGAGGCTCGGGATCGATTCCCAGCCAATGCAGCAGTTCCTTTTTGGAAGGGATGGAGGGGAAAAATTTAATGCCATAGCACAGCAGCAAGTAGTTTTCTTATTCCTTACTATTCCCAAGAATACCTGCTGGTGTTAAAATCTGTTGCGGAAGAGCTTTAAAACACCAACAGAAAGTTAAATTGCTTTAATCTGCCCCTTTGGGGTCGGATTGTAGCTTGAAGCAGGCAGGGTCAGATAAACCTGGGAGGCTTTTGCCTGGCGAGCTCTCAGCTCTGCTCACTGGTTGTGCTGATGTGGCAGGGCTGCTGCCTGTGTGAGTAGAGGCTGTCGGCACAAGGGGGCATGAAGAGTCAAGCTGATCCTTGTTGTGCTTTGTCACCCTGCTTGTAAGACCCAGATTTAGCACCAAGCAGAGGCTGGAAAGCTCTTCAGGACACTTGGCTTCCACATGGAGCCATGCCGTAGGAGAGCTGGCCAGGTGGAGATCTCCTGGGCTGGGTTCAGCCTTTCCTGTGCTTGTGTGGTATCTCTAGGTGTTGACATCCGGACGATGGAAGGCAGCTCTGAGCTGCTCCTTGGAGAGTGGCTGAAACCATCAGAAGGAGCTGCCTGGGTCTCCCTTACAGAGGAGACCCAGTCTGGGGCAGAGGGCTGAAGCTGTGCAGCCTGCATTCTGCCGGGTAGGTGCAGTCCTGTACCAGCTTCGTCCGGTACCTCTAGCAGTGAGGAAGAGCTTGACAAGGGGTGTAAAAAGCTCATTGCAGGCAGAAGGGACCCTTGGGGGTCTCCAGACCCTCAAACAATGGTTGGTGGTGTCTTTGAGGAAGGTTGTGCAGCTCTCCAGCCTCCCGGTCCTGCTCTCCGCCTTCTCTGCCATCCCACTGACTGTGGCTCCTTTCTGTCTACCCGCAGGCTCTCTGGAAGTGTCTGGTGACTCCACCTTCAGCAGCAGCAGTGTCTTCACCATAACCAGGTAGGGTCTGTTTGTTGCTTTGGAAGAGCTTGAGAAGAAGAGAAGGCTTCTTGGGGCACAGCCGATCACTGACAGATGCTGACAAAGCTGCGGGGAAGGGTGATCTGGGCTGGAAAGCAGTTGGGGTCTCCTGGTCGCAGTGGGGTGGATGACTGGGAATGTTCTAGGAGTTGACTGATTCTCTCTGATGCTTTTGTACCAAAATGTCTTAACTTTGTGGTAAACTGAGGTGTTTGCCCGTTTCCCAAGGAGACCTTGCAAAGCCCCCCGGGGGAGGTCTGGTGAGGCCACAAGTGTCGGCATTTGGGATTCCGCACCTTGGCTGCCTTCGAGCCCCCAGGTTGGGCTCTCCGCCTAAGAGATGGGGTGAAGGTGGCGAGAACGTGGGTGACTGTCTTAGTTATGGCTCTTCTGGCTTGGCTGAAATAGGAGGCGTTTGGTTCCCTCCTGCCTCTGCAGAGGAATGGTGGTAGAGGAACAGCGGTGTGCTGGTCTGCCAGAGGCTCAGAGACCTTGTGAGAAGGTGGTACGTGAAGCTCCTGGAGCTGGCCAGAGAGCTTGGAGATCGCTGAGCCTGCTCCTGGGCACTGCAGCCCTCGGCACTGCAGGTCTGGCAGCCCACCGTGGCACGGTGCAGCCCCATCCAGCTCCAGCTGCCAGAGAGAGGAAGGGTTCGGCTCCCGGCCTGTCCCTCACCAGCCTGGCATGGCATTAGGCAGCTCCGTGCCCCGCACCGTCTCTCCCAATATCTCACCTAAATCATCTCTCCTGCAAATACCTTTGACCAGCTGTCAGTGAGTCTGGAGATGAATCCATCTGCTCTTACAACACATCTGTCCTTTCCTGCTGCTGCCTGCAATTCCTTTCCTCGGAGGCTGTGATTTCCAACGCTTCTGTTGTGCTGATGCATGTATTTATTGGTTGTTGTGGTCCCCAAAATAGGGTGCGTTACCCTGGGTGCATCCTACCAGCAAGGCTGACGCGTGACGCCCATCGTGACGCATCCCAGAGCCATGCAAGTGTCAGCGTTTCAGGTTGATGGTCTGGGACTCCTCCGTTTCTTTTTCGCACTCCTGCAAAGCCCAGCGACTCCCTCATCTTAACAATGCCCTGAATTTTTTCCTCTCTTGAAAGTACAGATCTGATCATTTGCGCCTAGATTTTGTTTTATGACTGTCAAACGGTTTTCCCTGGCTTTCCTATGATTGCCACATCCTAGCCCTGCTTGGCCCTTAAAGTTTAGCGGGTGCAGAAGTGGGTGTGCGTACGGCTGAAACTGGGAAGGGGAAGGAAAAGGAGAGGTGCCAAGTCCAGGAGGACAAGTGATAACTGCGTCTCTGTGCTGAAGAGCCAGCAGCTGGGGGAGAGAGGGAGTGAAGGCCGAAGCGGGACGGAAGCAGGGAGAGCTGGAGTGACTTGGTCGCCATGTCACTGAGAGCCCAGGGGAGAACGGCTGCCTGAGCTGAAACCACCTGCCAGATCCCCAAGCACGGGGGAAACCATCCTGGACAGCAGGCGAGACGCTTCGCTTCTCTGAGACCTGGTTTTACAGAGGGACGTGTTCCTGAGCCCTCCTAAGCCCCTCGAAACAGGAGACGCCAGGCTTTCTCCTGGGGTTTACCTGCCCTGAAGCCCGCTTCCCCATCTTTTGTGACCTCTCTGCTGGCCCAGCGTTGGGACCTGGGAGATTTTCGCCGTGGCGTTGTGGGGGACTGGCGCGGGGCTGGGGGGCTGACGGGAGCCCTGGGCGTCTATCTGGTGCCTCGTCTGTTTGCTCCTGGCTGGGCCCTGGAGCCAGAGGAAGGTGAGGGCTGGCACCCGCAGCCGGCAGCAGCCGTAATTCATGCCGGGACGCAGGCAGCTGCCTGCATGCCGAATGCCCACTGGGTGTCAAGACAGGACTGCAGGAAACCATCGCATTGCTTTGAAAATCTGGAAAGCCTGCAAACGGAGGAAGTTGCAGCTGCCTTTTGAGATGAAGTCACTCTTTGCTTGTGTTTTTGTTCGCTCTCCCTCCCCTGCTTCCCCCCGGTCTCCCCCGGCGAGCAAGTGATGGAGCATGGCCCCGCACCAGGCGTCCAGCTCTCACGGCCCCTTCTCCTGCCCTCCCCGTGCAGCCGTCTGCAGCGGTAAAAGGAGGAGGACCTCGGTCAGCAGGGCAGAGGAGCTCACGGCCCAGCGTCTGCAGAGGGACGTCTTCCACGAAGATGCCATCCGAGAAGACGCTGAGGTCTGGATGCTCAGCAGATGGATGCTGGGCGTGTTCCTGCGGCCACGAACCAACATGCACAACCTCCCTGCTCCTAAAACGTGCTGTTGGCGATCCTAAATGCTTCCAGGGTAACTGCCAGCTTCCTGGTGGCATTTTCTAGGAAACAGGGACCATGTCTGTGCCAAGAGAGACACGGGCTCCTGGGAGAGCCTGGCTGCGCAGGGCTGGAGGGACTGCGGGGCTCCCTGTGCAGGTGGGCGTCCCCACTTCCAGCTTCTGCAAAAACCGTCACTGAAAGTGGACCAGGACCGTGTTTCAGAGGTGCTGGAGCCTTCCCGTGGCCCAGCTGACCCTGCTGCTGTCACCGGTGTGAGCCCCAGTCGGGCAGGGGAGGCGGAAGCGCGGCGGGCTGGAGCAGAGCCCAGGCTTCCTTCTGTCAGTCTGAGCTGCTGCAGGAGAAGATGCAGGCGTTTGTCCTGCATTGCTGGACCAAAACAGCTGGAAGGTGCCTTTGAGGCTCTTGTAACCGCTTTGGTGTTTCAATACAAGACCTGGATGGGTGGAGACAACTTCCTAGCTGTACTGCTGGGTGGATGGTCAGGCACGGCCAGCAAGCGGTCAGCAGGGCTGCCAGGGTTCGATGCGTGGCCGTTGGACAAGGGTAGCAGGACCATGATCCCTCACCAAGCTAAATACAGAACGTGGGGGCTCCAGAAGAGCCTTTGTGGTCCTTCCTGGTGCAAGGAAGGCTTCTTGTTTTGGGTGGTGGTCAGCAACGCGTGGACACGTTGTTCTGCCGAAAGGCCAAACAGCTGCCACGTGGCTAAACTGCCCAAGGCTGCGTTTAAATCTAACTTTATAACGTGGTAGTTAGGGCTTAGTACAAAGCTCAGATTGCTGCTGCTTGTCTCACACTGGAAGTTGCCATAGCCCTCTGGAGCCCAGCACGCCTTGAGGGGTGAACTGGGGAGCTTCTTGAGGTGATGAACGCTTGGTGGAGGGTAGGGACGGTGTTGCATGCCCCGCAGCACCCAGGGGATGGATGGCTGAAGGCAGCACAATGGCTTGCTTTGAGCTCGTGCTCCAAGCCTGCCTTGGAGTCCTGCTCTCTGGCAGCTTGTCTGGTGGAGTCCACCTTGCTGCAGCTTTCGGGTCCAGGGTGTCCTCTTGGGGAGGTTTCTTCTGGCCCTTCTCTCCAGCCTGGGCCGAGGAGGCGGGTTCCCTCCCTTGCACAGGAGGGTTAACCAGCTCCTGCTATGCCGTCGGGTGGGTGAGCTGGAGGGGGCACCTCGGGCACGCCGCCCTAGCCCTTCTCCCCGCGACGTGCAACTCGTTGGACTGCGTGCCTAGACCTTAGCCTCGTCACTTCGCTGGGAGAGCAGCTCGCCAGGGTGCTGCGGGCGCTTCCCGCACTTGGAAACCACAGTGAGCAGAAGGACGCCAGGGGCGCCGAAATGAGGGCGACGGGGGACGAGAAAGCGACAGCTTGTGGGACCGATAGCGGAGAGGAGCCATTTACCTCCTGGCCGCTGGCTCGAGCCCGTTGAGCTGCACAGCTGCCAGCCCGTATGGGAGGTGCCCTTGTGACTTGGACCACAATGAAAGAACCTGGATATTTCCACCCTTGGCAAGGCCGCTTAAAGGCCTAGAGCCTGGCCGAGACCTTAACCTTGTCTGAAAATGGGGTCAGGAAAGCAGCTGGGCCAGGCAGGAGGCCAGGAGGGAGATGACAACTCAGGCCTTGGCAAAGAAAGGGCAACTGCTGAGGAGAGCGATGGCAGAAGCCCTTGAAGAAAGGGGAGAAAGGAGAAAATGAGCTGATAAGGGACCTGGGGTGAAAAACATCTCTGTGGGTTGAAAGCAGTGGGAAAGTGAGCTCTGTTCCCATGCTGGAGGATGCATTCTGAGATGGGGGGACACGCTTAGGGGATGGGTCTCCTGCCCCACCGCTCACCTTGAGCAAAGGGTGCCGGTATCCAGAGGTGAGAGCCTGGTACAGCCCACATCGTTGCTCAGTTTGCCCTAAAAACATCTTCTCGCCATCAGAGGCGAGGCACGGAGGCGGTGCCAGGGCCGCGTTCATCCTCTGGAGGACAATCTGGGGTAGTGGGTTAGATGGAAGCAATCGCATCCGACATCTGCCCTGCCGCAGATACTGGCGCTGGGGATCGCATTAACTCAATGCTGTTACTGCTGCTCCCGCTCCGACCCGCCTGGGGATTAAAGGGAGGGGGCGAGCTGCGAGTCCGCTGCGGAGCTGCAGCTGCAGCAGCGCTCGCCGTTCTCTGCTGCTGCCTTCCCCCTACCCCAGAAAAGCAGCGGCCTGTGGGGATCAGATGCTGCTCCATCTTGGAGGCAGAGGAGCATGGTCGGTGGGGATTTTTAGCCCAGTTTCACACATTCAGCAGACCTCTTGCCTTTCAGGATGGTGCCCTGGTTTTGTGCTGAGTAAACGAGCTCCTTCTCTGCTGACAACCCCCCCTAGAAGGTTTATCTCAGGATAAGGATAGCCAGCGAGGAGCTGTGCCCCGCTGCCGTTCCCCTTAGCAGTAGCTGAGCCCAGCGGAGCTCATGGCATGGCTGGAGTCTGGCTGACTCGAGGTGACACCAATGCTGCCCGCTACCTCCTGGAGTCAGCTCGGGAGGATTTTGGCTTCAGCCACCCTGGCTCTGCCCCCACCCCGCTCCCGTGCGGGTGCTGCGTCGCTGAGGAAGGGGATTTCAGGAGCAACGCTGGCACAAGCCGAGCTGGAAATGGTTTGTTGCTGTGCTAGCAGTGTGGCATCCTCCTCTAACGATACCAGCCCATGTCCTCCCCGCTTGCTGCCCAGCACCGCGGAGCTGGTGGATGCGACAGCGTCGAGGCTGCCTCCAAACCCACCAGCTCCCCCCCCATCCTGTACAGGCGGCGTGTATTTTGGCGTGGAGATGTAATCGGGTCGAGGCTTCGTGCTCCTCTTCCATCAGGAGCCCTGTGCCGGGTGGGCAGTAGCTGCACCACTGCCACTGGTTTTACAGGAGAACCAGATGCGGGGCTGGTTCGGGCCAGCTGATATCGCCTGGGATGCTGCTCCCTTGGACATCCCCTCTCCCGAGCAACCCGTGCTCCGCGTCCCTCCTCCTCCTCGGTTCTGCACGCCTGAGCGTTTGGCCCTTGGCGGTTGTTTGCAACATCAAAGCGAAACTTAGTCCGACTCGAAATGCAATTTGCAGACCCCAGTGTCCGTTACGTGAGGCAGATCAAGCGGTCGGATGTCTGCAGGGCTGTGAGGGGCCGCAGCCTCCTCGTCTCGCCCTGACAACGTGTGTCCTGGGGAAGATCAAATCCTATTAAGCTGCAGCTCTACTTGCAAATTATACCGTGAGAAATCTGCCCCTTAGGGTTTCTTATCAAACGAGATGCAGAGCAGCTCCGCGCGCGCAAGAAATATCAGCCAGAGTCTGGTCCAGACTTGAATCATTTAGTGGCTTGTGTAGGACAGGAGCGACTTAGCTCTTCAATCCAGCTGCCTCGTGGAGGTCTGCTTCAACCACCTTGGCTCCAATCATCTCTACTTAACATGGTCTCCTGTGACAGGTACTTCCCATGTCCTTGCGGCTGAGGAGGTGAGAAACCATCAGGTAGACTTCAGGATTGCAAACAGAACAAAAAAATACCATAACACGACCTCTTCTGCATTGGGGTCTCCTGTCCCAGTGCAGGTCCCAGCAATCTGGGGAAAAACTGGGGAGTTTTTCACCGTAGTAAGTGCTAAGGGTCTGCAGGCCATGGGTGTTATAGAAGAGGCGATGTCCTGGTGAACTGAGGGAGCTGTTTGCTTTCATCCCTGGTTGATGACCAAGAGTTATCCTCATCTTTTGGGAAACGAGATGATGTTCTCAAGGCAGCTTTGTAGCGGAGAGCTGCATCCCAAAAACGCTGCCAGCCATCTGCAGTCCTCAGCACAAGTCTGCTGGGATTAGCAGAAACTGGATGTCCTTGCCCAGTAGGGTGGCCCCAGCTGGTGGAGTCTGAAGACATGTGGGTTGGTGTTTGAACTAGTAAAACTGGGGTTGGAGTCTGAATCTGTTTTATGGATCTCTAGTCTTTGAACCCCAAATCTGGTGACTGCAACACAGCCGTGGTACTGGATTCATCTAGCATGGTGGCTTGTCCTGCGTGGGTACCAGCTGTTTTGGCAAAGTGGTAAACCTTGAAGCCTGGGAGATTTCTGTTTCCAAAGCAAGTTTTTGGTGTGCTGCTGTATCTCTCATTGTGTTTCCCCATCTCATAACGCCAGTCAGAAGCTAACTAAGCCATGCCACACAGGCAAACGTGGCCATGTCCAGCCGTGACCCTGAAGGCTTGCAAGTCTGGAGCTTGCTTCCTAGCTGTCATGACTTTGAAGACTTGAGCGCAGCTCCTGGGCTTGCAGTGAGCAGATCTGGACTCCCGGAATAAGAAATGCAGGTGGCCGCGCTGCGTGGGGCAGGAGCAGGCCAAGGGGACGGCTGAGGTTTCTTAGGCTTTGAGCAGTTTGATGCAGCCTGTGGTGTGTCATGGACCTCCCCGCTGTGGGAGGAGTGAGTTGGACATTGCAGTACTGAACCAGCCTCTCTCCTTTCCATGCAGCTCCGAGAGGATCCAGGTGACCCTGAACCTGGATGGAATAGTTCAGGTGCTGGACTGCCACCTTCATGACACGTCCATTGGGATGATGACCAGAATTGCAGTCCTGAAATGGCTCTACCACTTGTACATCAAGACTCCTCGTAAGGTAAGTCGCGGACTCGGCATTTGAGCCCTCTGCTTCCTTCGTGGGATTGACCTTGTCTGCCACTTGCCTTGGAAAAGGCTCTAATGATCTTGGTAGCATTGCAACCAAGCGTCCGTCTGCCTTTTCTGAGAAGGCTTTGGCTGCTGGATACCGCGTAGGTAAGGGAGAAGAGCTTTTTCGGCTCAGGTGGACAATGGTAGTGTAGCTTTCGGCAGCCTCCCCTGGGGTAAGGGGTCCTGTGGCAGGGGTGACCAGGACTGTAGGACTGATGCCATCCATCTTTCTGGTTGTAGATGTTCCGACACACCGATAGCCTCTTCCCCATCTTGCTGCGGACCCTCTCAGACGAGTCAGATGAGGTAAGTGCTGCAGCCACTGCAAAAGTCCTCCTGAAAGCTTACTGTCTCCATATCTAGCTGGGCTTTGGATTTTTGGTGTTGAACCAAAATGGATTTTGTGAGGCTTGGCCAGTGTTGGTACTGGGGAGCTTAAATCTGTTGGCTAAACTGAAGAAGACCCAATGCAGAGGTCGTTGTCCGGCTGAAAGCCCTGCTGTCTGGGTTAGGCTGGCGTGTTTGGGACTCTCTGTATAAACCTTCCTCTCTGTCTCCAAGAGCTGATCCCTCAAAGCCTACCCCTAAAAATCACCTACCTGGGAGGACAGCTGGGGGCTCAGGCCCCTGAGCTGGGGTCCTCCCCAGGTGGGGGCTCAGTTGTGCTCAGGTCCTTGGTGAGTGGGAATTTGGGTGCCTTGCAACAGCTCGTAGAGATGCGAGGGGCATCGTGTCCGGCCGGTGCTGCAAAATCCGAGTCACGAGGCAGTTAAGTAGCTCCCACTGCTACCAGTTACAGAGTCACAGAATCTCAGCATGGTAGGGGTTGAAAGGGACCTCTGTGGGTCATCTAGTCCAACCCCTGCTGAAGCAGGATCACCCAGAGCAGGCTGCACAGCACCGCGTCCAGGCGGGGCTTGATTATCTCCAGAGAAGGAGACTCCACAGCCTCCCTGGGCAGCCTGGGCCAGGGCTCCATCACCCTCAGAGGGAAGAAGTTCTTCCTCGTGTTCAGATGGAACCTCCTAGGCTTCAGTTTGTGCCCATTGTCCCTTGTCCTGTCGCTGGGCACCACTGAAAAGAGTCTGGCCCCATCCTCCTGACACCCACCCTGCAGATATTTGGAGGCATTTCTAAGGTCCCCTCTCAGCCTTCTCTTCTCCAGGCTGAACAAGCCCAGCTCCCTCAGCCTCTCCTCGTAGGAGAGATGCTCCAGTCCCCTCCTCATCCTCGTACCCCTCCGCTGGACTCTCTCCAGTAGCTCCTCATCTTTCTTGAACTGGATGAAGTGGAGTTCATGCCTGCCGCGCAGCCCAGCGCCCGAGTCTTCCTCCTGCCCGAGCCCGGGCAAAGAGCGATGGCACCTCCGCACGCGTCGCCGCCGGAGCAGACGCTTTTCTGAGCAGCAACAGTCTTCAATCCAGGCTTAAGGTTAAGCCCGTGCTTGAATGTGTTGTGCCCACGTGCCGGCCCTTGGCTGGTGGTGGAGGGGCTCGTTCGCTGCCTGGCTGCACCCCACTGCAGGGCTTAATTGAATTCTGGCAATTAAGGAACATTAGTGCTGCTGCTTCCCATAGTCCCAAGCTGAGTCCTTGGGGCTGGGCAGTGGGAACGCCAGTTCCTTCCCAGCGAAAACCCACTTTATGGGTAAGATGGTCTGGTTTGCAGAAGCATGGATCTACACAAACCCCCTAAAAGCTGCTGAGCAGCCCTGGAGTCCCCTCCAAAAGCAAGGGGGGCACAGCTTCTCCTCCAAAGCAGGGCTCCACTGAAGAGAAGGCTGAGAGGACTAGACCCAGCGCTGCTGATGACAACGCTCTGAGCTCTGCCATTCAGCCAGTTCCCAATCCACCTCACAGTTCAACATCAGCCTTGCCTGGTGGGGCTGCAGTAGATGCCCAAGAACTGCTTCTCTGCCCCAGGCATCACTCAGACCCGAGCAGCTAAGGCTCTGGGCCACGCTTGTTCCTTTAGCCCCTTCCAGTGTCCTCGAACTCAGAAATCAGATGCTACTTCATGGTCTGTGCCAGCATGCCTTTGGGGCATCTGCCCCAAGCCCTTCGGGGAGCCGTGCTCTAGGTGGGAGTTTTCTGGCTCGCTGGTTGCCTTCTCCGCATCGGCTTTGCGGGGGCTTCGTGTTGGCTGGGAACAGCTCGGCTTGGAAGTGAGCAAAAAAGGCAGCGACGAGCGAGCCAGCTTGCTCTGCCTTTGCTCTCCTGCCTGCTCCTTGCCCTCCCGGTGCGGTGCTCTTCATCTCTCCCTTCCCGAGGTGCTGCTGGTGCAGCCTCCTGTTTCCTCATCTTTCTTCCTCACCCCTCTTCTCTGGTTCCAACCATGTCAATTTTGGCAGTTTTGTCGTCTTCTCCCCCTCTCCATTGCACCCTGGAGCGTTGCTGGAGCCTGGGTGGGAGGCTGGCAGCTTCGGCACGCAGCTGGCCCGGGCACTGGTGCCGCTTCTACCACCAGCCGGATACTTTTTGCCCAGAGCTGTGAATGATCCTGGTTTCTCAGCCCAGACCTTCCTCATGGAATAAAAGTCACGCGCTGTCTGCTTTGGTTGGGCACCAAACCCCAACCCCACGAGAAATCGCACGCGCGAGTGGGGTCGTTAAGAGAGGAGGGAAGGGAATAAGCAAGCGAGGGAACGGCTTGCGAAGGCGAGCAGCGGCCTGGCCGTTTTCCACACCCTGCTGCTTCCGATGCAAACCTCTCCAAAAGATCCCCGAGCACACATCTGCCTTTGCAACGCTCTAGAAAGCCTGCATCTTGCAGATAGTCCCTCCAGCTTGGCAGGAGATTGCAGTGAGTCATGTTGCAATTACACTGCTTATTAATATTTGAAAAAAGGAGTGAAGAAAGGACCCTGGTGATGCATTTCCTCCATGTGACATAACTGGGAATGGCTCAAAAGTAATTTTAAGCTGATTTATTTAATCCTGTCTTCTATTTATTTAAATGTTTGGAGGGTTGTTTTTTTTTTTAAAGGAAATCCACTGACGAGTCAATCCATTAAACACCACTGCTCAGCTGGCTCCCAACCAGACTTGCTGCTCTCTGCAGAGGAAATAGAAGTGACTGAAATAGCAGGGGGGTTTTGGGCTGGGCTTTTTTGCGAACAATGAGGGCAGATTGAGCTAGCTAACCTCCAGCATCAGCGCCTGTTAGAAAAGGGGACGCGGGTGCTCTCTCAGCCATTACTCCCTGCTCGGTACAATGTTTGTACGCGCATTCGCGTGGTCCTGGAGCAGATCCCCAGAAGCTCTTGGCTAACGGGCTGGGGATCACCGGGTTAGTGTGGGGTCCTACGTGAGATAACCCACCAGCGCTCTGATGAGGAAGCATCTCCCTCCCCTTTCCAGGTAGGGCTCCGTGAGTTGTATGGTGTAGCACAAGGTGTGCACACATCTTCAGGGGGGGGTTTTGCTGCCTTCACCCTGCGATGCTGCCCTCCCCAAGGGGACGTGGCTGGGCACCAGTGCCGGTCCCATCTTTCTTCCCAGCGAGGCTGAAGATCCTTTTGTGGCTCCCCTGGCCCCCAGCCACGCTTTGGAGGCTGGCTGTTGCTCTCCTGACATGTCCCGAAGCTGTCCTGGAGCAGTTGTTTCTCGCTAGCTCCTCGCCAAAAGAAAATCTGGCTTTGGAGGGTCGGTGCTAGTCAGGGTTTTGCATCAAAATGAAAGCCCATGCTCAGGCACCGTGTTTTTAAGGTCTGGTCTTGTTGAGCTGCTCAGAGCAGCCTGTGCGCTTGCTGTAAATAATCCAGCCCAAAGCAAGGAGAGGCTCGCGCTGGATGGAGCTGGATGCCTGCCCTGTAAGTTGTCATGCCTGTTTTTATCGCTGAAGTAGCGCAAGGTGTTGCGCCACCTTCACCGTGCTGAGCTGGGGCCAGGATCTCATGATGCATCTGCGGTGTCCTGAGTCATCTCTGCCTTCTCTCCTGTTCCCCTTCCTACCCAGTTCTCCTGTGCCAGTAAAGAAATGATCAGGAGACCTGGTTAAGATTCACAAAGGCAGCGCGGAGAGGTTGGAGCGAAGCTGAAGCGAGCGGTTCCCTTTGATATGTAGAGAAGTCGGGATCCAGGGTTCCTGGCTGTCAGATGCTGTACTGCTGCACTGCGTCACCTCGTGCCGGTTCCCATGCTTCCCTGGCAGGGAGGTGCTCCATCCCGCATTTGAGACGTGGCTTTGAAGGCAATTTTTAAAAGCCCTGGTTAAAATTTTACGTGCTTAAGAACTTCCTTACAGCTCCAGGACTTAACAGGATCCTGCTGGGAATGGGTTTTTCGGCACAAGCCGCTCCTTTTGGCAGTGCAAACCTGGCAGCCCTGACATCTGCTTCAAGAACTGGTGTTAGAAAAGGTGAAAAGTCAAAGCCCAAGCACCCTTTGGGAGGAGCGGGCTGGACCTTCCCACCTGCAGGTTAAAAGCACCGCTGCTGATAGGCGTTGCGGAGAGGAAGAGCTGCTCCTTGGGTCGCCTCCCTCTGCGAGCTCTGGTGCCAAGGCAGCTTCAGATGTAGCTGTTCAGCTCCCTGGGTCCTTCCCGGCTGGATGTAGGTGCTGAGTTCAGGCGGACGCAACAAGTGGTGAGGGCGTCTCTGAGAAAACCATGAGACGGTGACGCTGGTGGCTTACTTTCTTTGCTTTGTTTTCCTTGCTCTGGCTCTAAAATGGAGTTGTTTCTTGACGGCTGAACGTGTTCCTGTTTCTGTATCTTGTGGGGGATTGGAAGTTGTGTGGGGACTTTTGTCTGACTCATGCAGGAATGACGCGTGAGGTGGAGCTGGTGTCTGACGTGAAGCAGGATAGACCCCGGCTTCTTCTCAGCTCTGCTAACATGAAAACCTACCTGCAGCGGCCAGGCAAGGCTTTGAATACAGCAAGACGATCCAAGTGATTTCTGAACTTGCAGTTTGCAGCTCTGTCTCCTAGAGCATCCTTCGGAAGTCTGCTCCTGGCGCTGGACAAGAGTCGGGACCCTTCCCTAGGATTAGCTGAGCCTGGACTGCCACTGCCTGCGGAGGCAGCGATGGACTTGAACGTCTGCGTGACCTTCAAGCCAACTTTTCCGTGACAAGCTAAAACATTTTGCCCCTCTCTTGGGTTTCCAGTATGAAACTAGGAGAGGAGGAACCCCAGGTATGGGGGTATACTGGTATTCGTGTCTCTCCTTTGTTGTTAACTCCTGCACCTCTCCTGCGTGCCCTGCTGCAGCATCGCAGGGTTCCGAAGCCCAGGTCTCTGCCCTGCGCTCTGAGCTGTGCTGTCGCACCGAATCCTGGCGGACTTCTCCCACTGCGCCTGATT